TCTAGTATAATTTACTTTTGGTTTTCTGCTTCGACCAACAAGTGTTCTGCACTTCAATGCTCCGCTAACTTTTATCTAGTTATGAGCCCAATTAATGACTCAGCTCCTTTGGTGGCACAATTTGACGGCACCAAATATCCGTTATGGGCGTTCATGATGAAGATGTACATGGTGTCCGAATTATTATGGGTAGCGGTAGACTCCGCATCCGACGTCACCGAGGATAAGGGGCAGCATACGTCGCGGCAATCGTGATCAACTTAAGCGAAACTCAGCATATGCATGTCATTACAACAAATAGTACACGCAAAGCATGGGGAGCCCTGGCGCAAGTTTACTAGCACAAGACATGGCGGTCGGCTGTGGCTGAAAGAGATGTTTACAATGCTCATGTATCCGGCACCTGACATTAGCGCTTAGGTACTGGAGCTAGATCGGCTCGTTTTGAACATGAATGGATTTTATTGTGGAGCGAGTGAAGAAGATACGTGTGCAAATTTGCTACAAAGTCTTCCGGCACAATACGAGAGTCTTGTCAGGCTTTTTGTATGAGCTTCTCTCAATTACAGCTTTAAAGATCTAATGAGTAAGCTACCCGCCGATTAAGTGCGCAAGAAGGATTTGTCGCGAATTAAGGACGAGGCAGTGCTGCATGTCGGAAAACGACAGGAGAAGAAAACCTCAACAAAAGAAGCGGTGATCATCGGAAGACATGGTCAAGTGTCTAGTACTTAAATTGTAGTACGCGTGGATACTACGCGCGCGACTGCCGGAACAAGAAACAAGATAGCGGCGAGACGCAAAAAATATCACTCTAATCAGGCGATTTACGTAACGCAAGGAAGTACGAGCGACGGATGGATCATAAAAAGTGGCGCAACGGCACATATGTTCAAGGATAGAGACGCGTTTGCCGAATACTCCGAATCGACAAAAACTCGCAATATGCATAGCACAAAAAAATGCGATATTGAAGGTTTTTGGACAAGACACCGTGATTTTACGTGTTTGGAACGTCATATTGTCAATAAATGCGCGGCTGGAAAACACACTTCACGACCACGACCTCAACAAGAACATGTTCTCGCTGACAGCAGCTACTGCTCGCGGGACGACGGTCGAGATGAACGTAGACGGGTGTACTGTATATAAAAGCGGGCGAATCGTCGCGACAGGAATGCGATGTGGAATGCTTTTGAAAATCAATGTCGAACATGTTCCACTATGCCATGTGGTAGTAAATGAATCTGGATTGTGGAATCGCTGGCTCGGACACGTTTCGTACTCGACCGTAAACAATCTGATCAAAGACGGCTGTGTACAAAGAAAATGCATGGATTTAAAAGTCGTCTGTGATATTTGTGCGACATCCAAGCAAGTCCGCTAGACTTTCAACAACACTGAGTCTTAAGAAGCAGCGAGGTAGAGTCACCGTATAGACTAGGTCGTATGCTCGGATATTCTATCACCAATAACACCAGCATCATGATCGGACCATTGCTACGTCGCGACGTTCATGATGATGTAAATTCACTACACGATGGTATTACCGCTACGCGAGAAAAGAAATGTCACCAAAGCGTTTCAACAGCACTGTAACAATATCAAGCTCGAATGCGGTTTGGACGTGACGTTTTTAAGCAGTGATATAGGCACTGAGTATAGAGGTAACTAGACGACTTGATTCTGTCTGCAGAAAGTCATAAAGCAGGAGTTTACGGTGCTTTATAATTCGCAACAGAATGGCTTGACAGAGCGACTAAATTGCACACTGGTTGATATGACGCTTTTTATTCTAGGCAATGATAATATGGACAAGACATACTGATGTGAGGCGATGCTGACTGCTGTGTATATTCGTCACATATTTTTATGCGCTTGAAGACAAACCCAAGCCCATTCGAGATGGTGTTCAGCCAAATACTCGTATTGATGAATTGCAACTGCTCGAAGGGGTTTGCTACTCGCATATTCCGAAAGCAAAGCGAAACAAGCTGAAACCCTCCGGTGTGCGGTGTACGCTGCTCGGATACGCCAAGCAACTCAAATTCCATCGACTTCTTGACACCAATACTGGAAAAGTTTTAGTTTCCCGGAGTGTAACCTTCGCAGAAACTGCGATCGATAAACCGCTCAAAGTATACACGTCTAGTGTTATTGACGTTGTGACAACGATGAATAAATCAAATTTTAAGTGAACACGCAACAAGTGGCGAGGGATCCTGCACGCCGGTACCAGGAATTTCGCAAATTTCATCTGACAGCACAGGATCAATGGATAGGCCAACCGGTGTGATATCGACGAGACGATCAAGCACATTAGAACGAGACGACGAACAAGAGTCCAATGTGAGATTAGTACGCAATAAACAAGCGATCAAACGCTACAAGCAGGAGTTTACCAGTCTAAGGCAAAACAAATCTAACACCGACGACTATGACGCTAGCTACGAGGCACATACTGTTTTAGCGCTACATAGGATGGTGAAGGGACATCGACATATCAACCAAGATCTTCGCAGCACTAAATTTTATGTTATCACGTGCGCTTAAGAGAGCTGCACGTGATTATGCATTGCCTTTTGTGATCCTCTGCTCGTAGGTGCTACACACGTCGTGTAACGGTGCACCGAATGCTTGGGCTGACGCAGTACAACCATCTACACTGACCAATTTGTTAGTAGATACGTCGAAGCTGCATACTCAAGTACGTACAGAGAGGCTACAACCTACTAAGCAAAAATATTTAATAAAAAGGGTAGAAGCACAACAAATTACAAATCATTCATCGATAGCTTTTACTGACATATTCTGTCCGATGATATTTGACCATAGAAAACTACAGGTATGTATTATTTGGCTACTTCCTCGCCACCCCTTACGCGCATCTTGAAACGGGGCGCCTTCCGCTTATACTTACACATTACAAGCTACATACACTGACATAGTGTAGTCAGGTGTCTCGAATCATCGCGTACACTGTACGTTCAGAGGAAGGCTTAGTTTCTTAAACGGACACGAATGAGATGCAGAAAAGTGAACAGTATTAAAAGAGTCAAGTTTTCTGGTAAATCTCTTTCGATCTTAACTTAACCATATCAAACTTTGAACGTCAAAAGCAACTACCCGCTCACCACCCTTGCGCGTGTCTTTTATTGGTTGGTGGATAAAATTGGTTGACATCATGGCCCATACAGAACAATTAGTGGAGCGATGATATATATTGCCTTTGAAGGTAAGATTCTCCTAATATTGTTTAATAATGTAAATCTTGGCGAATAGCATCAATTGAGATAATATTCTAATTGACCCAAAGTGGTGTCAATGTCATGGTACAAGTTCATCCCTTTACACGTCTAGCAACGATTAGTGGTGTAGTCGATTAATATAATGGCCAGCATCAACCAATGAGTGGAGTAATACCGACTACTGCTTCCGAGAGTAATCTTCCTACAAGGTTTACTGAGCAAGGTAAATAATGTAAAATGTTTCCAGTTAAGATAACGTTTTTATTGAACCAATTGGTGTCGATGTCATGGAACGGATACCACATCGGCTCGATAAAGTCGTGGAACCTGCTTTCTGACCCTGCATGAAGCTGAGACTACTGCATCCGAACCTGGGCATGTTTTGATGCTACTGAAGACTACCATCTGGGTCTGATGCATATACACGAATCAAAAGGGTACGCGAGTATTACCGAAAACTATGCACAGCTAACTTCGGTTTGTGAGCCCACTTGGTCTCGGACGATCATTTTTCATTGCTATGCAATGCTCTACGAAATCCCTTAGATAAGACATGGGCACTTCGGACCATACTTCGTCGAGATGCTACTACTTCAACATTACGATCGCATTTGATATGCAACTTAATTGTCGGACGTGCCTTTACGAAACTTGTTTTACTTTCCCGGGTAGCGTGCAAGTAGGTTGTCACTATTAAGGATCATTCGAGCTCTCTCGTCAGAAAAGTTTACAAAAACTTGCTTCTCACCGAGGACTTTGCCAAAGGCACGGATGTCGCGGACATTTTGGCTCATTGCCTTGGCATTTCTATGGTTCGCCGGCATAGCAACAATCGCATTTATCCCTTTTTCAACCCATTACCAAAAGACTTCACGAAGTCGAAGGCAGCAGCATGCGCAAGTCTCCTCCCTTCAGAAGAAGCTGCCTCAGAGTCTTTGTTCACTCGTAGCATTTGTTTGGTGGACATCTCAGGTTGAGTTAATGGGTCCAGCTCGTCGTTGAGCGCCCTGTCGGTTTCAGCGGCTGGGATCTGTAGAGCGCCACTACCAGAAGACACGAGGAGCGCAAATACGAATAGAACAATGAACTTCCTCGTTCATCTAAACGGTAATTGTGGCTAGTGGACGACGAAAAGGGTGGGCGTTGTACTGCGAGACGGCGCGCGCGATGCTAATTAGACAATGAGAAAATCAAGCGGGGTCGCGAGCAAGCAGTCGTCGAACACTTTGGGTACGAAGAAGGCGAGAGAGCTTTTGCAAGCTACTCGCCGCCGGATCAGTTCCGGCTCTGTCCAACGCTTTCAAGTCTACTCAAGCTGCACGTACGCTAGGACTAGCCACAGTATGCAAAATGAATCATGGATCAGACCGCGTCTTACTGTTGTCGTGAAGACAGTGCACGATTTAAAGATCAAAGCGCGATGATCAGGACATTTCTCTGACTGTCCGAGTTCTTAAGTAGATAAGATGTGAGCGATTGTGTACTGTATCAGTCAAGCGATGTTGCCTGGTACATTTTCATAAAGTGTACGACCAGTGCACCTCGTTCGACGATCGACTGTTTCATACCAATTCTTTCTATCAATGTACGCACGAATAGAGGAGCAGAACAGCATCAGTGATCGAACAAGCTCGCCACAACGCCACTAGCCCGAGGGACTTTTCTAGTGACGTCGCACCCGTCCAGGCCAATCAATTTGCCCTCAAGTCCGCATTGCGCTCTCAAGTCCGTCGTCGTAGCTGCCCACTCGCGATGGTCCGTAAGAACAGTGGCGCCCGCCAGAGACGCGCCGTCAGTGCGTTAGTGCGTGCGGAAGATGCAGCAGAGGAAGAGATCCTCGAGACGCCGGCGCTTAGCTCCGTTGCGGTCGTGGAGAGTGCCCACGAGAGCGAGAGCGACGACGAGAACGTCGAAGCTGAAGCTGCCATTGAGCGTCAGCTTGTGGCCGAAGCTCAATTGCAGGCAGACGCAGCGAGGAACAAGAGTAGTAAAACGGTGCAGGAGAGCAAGCGCGTGTACAATACCGAAGCGCTGCTGTCGCTGGTGCAGGAGTGGGACGTCAAGCAGCTGCCGTGGATCGAGACGCTGGATACGTGTACAGCGCCTTTGGAGCTCGAGAACGTGCACGACGATCTGAAGCGGGAAGTCGCATTTTACAACAACACGATTGCTATGGTGCGGGTGGCCAAGGACCGACTGAAGCAGGATGGCGTGGCTTACAAGCGAGCGGACGACTATTTTGCCGAGATGCTCAAGAGCGACGCGCACATGGCCAAAGTCAAGGACAAGCTCATTTATGAGCAGAAGAAGATTACGGCAGTTGAAGAGCGCAAGAAATCACAGGCGCATCGAAAGGTTGCGAAAGAGGTGCAGGCTGAGAAGATCAAGGAACGGAACCAGCAGAAAAAGGAGACACTGGAGGCCGTGAAACTGTGGAAAAAGAGGAAGGGAAACAACACACGCAGCGACCTCAAGGATGGTGACGATGGAGAGCTCGACTCGATTATTGCGAGTGGCAAGCGAAAGCACACGGATGGAGACCGTGACCAGAAGAGCAAAAAGCAGCGGACCAACAAGACTCGAGAAGCCAAAGACGCAAAGTTTGGCTTTGGTGGCAAACGTCGCTATGCCAAGAGTAACACAAAGGAGAGCACGAACGATATCCCGGGCTTCTCAGGTGCGCGGAAGGGCAAGGCCAAGGGTCCGGTGGCGCCAAAAGGAGGCAACCGTGCTGGCAAAACTCAACGCACGAATCAGCGTACGAAGCGTCGACGATGAATGAGTGACAGTTGTGGGGTACGTACGACACTGAAGAAGTAGAGATTTATAGCAGCCGTCGCCTGTGTGCTTTTCTTGACGAAAAAGTCTTCTTATACTTTGTTGTGCGTCAAGAATGGTCCTTGCTGCGGTCAGTTGGTTGGCATTCTGACGCACATGTTGTAGCTAACGTCTCTGTCGACTGCAACGGTAGCAATCACATCGTGTTCTCAAGAAATGACTTGCGCCAGGACGCAGACGACCAGAAAACAGTCAACCACCGCCATTGACACGATGTCCCGTTCAAAATGGAATATTATTCTGCTGCATGAACGCCAGCAGCATCTGCCGCTCGTTTGGTGGCAGCATGTCCAAGTTTTGCGGGGTCGTGTTGCGCGCGAGTTCAGCGATGGCGTCGAAATGACCAGACGAGACGCTATCACCGCCCCCACCACTCGGCTTGACGCGCTTCAGAGCGTCGTTGGCTCCTTGAGTTGACGGCACTGATCCTTGGTCGGCGGGATGTGGTCTCTTGGCTGCACGCGGATCCCCTCTTCCTGCTCGACGGGGGTCGCGACTAGCATGTGCCAGGTTACTGCTGGGGGGCCCACTCGATTGTGCCGGCACAGTCGGTGTGGGCATTAGACCAGAGTGGGGCTGGGTGTGCATCGGGCTAGAAGCAGGGGCTGGTCTATTCGTCATAGCGGCACTCGTCGCCTGGGAAGCCAAGGGTCCTGGTCGTGCACTCCATCGCGTGCCACCGGCTTTAGCAAATGCTCCTGGTGTTGCCGACGGAACACTAGGTGGGGCCATACCCAGAATACCCGAGCCAGATGCCGCAGACCCGCTCATGGGTGGCCGTAGTGGAGGCGGCATCATCCTTCCTGTCATTGGCGGCGGTTGTTGCATCATGGAAGGAGGGGCATGCAACACTGGTTGGGTCTCAGTCGAAGAAGGAATGGAAATCTGCAGGTTCTTGAAACTCTGCACGATTGCATGTGTGAGCGCTGGGTTTGCCATCATGATGCTCTTTGTCACCTCTGGCTTCTGCCTTGCATGCTCCTTCAGCTGCACCAGCATGTCATACAACTTGACTGGTCCCAGCCGAGATATGGCCGACTCGATTGCATGGATCGCCATTTCTCCAGTCACCATCGTTGGATGCCCGCCGTCGTTTCGAAAATGGCTGCTGCTCGCTCCTCCAGACCGAGTGTGGCCTCCAGTATCCTGACGTTTTCGCTCAGATCCGCCAGACTTATCCCCGCCATCTGCAAAGTCCACCCGGAGATTGCGTCCATTGATCTCGTACCCATTGAGGTTCCGCATGGCACTAAGAGCTGTGGCGCCGTCGGCATACTCGCAAAAGCCATAGCCTTTCGGCTTTCCTGTCTCTCGGTCCGTCACAAGACTGCCACAGTGTACGCGGTTTTATGTAAAAGCACAACCAGAGAAATCAAAAACAAATCTAAACACCGCACAGCGCCCTCCCCCCATTTCAAAGCGAGCCGTGTCGTAGCCCCCACGTACCGAAAGTTTACGACCGACCCAGCCTCCGAGAAAATTTCCTTGAGCATTTCCTCGGTCACATCGTATGGAATATTTCCGACTGCACAAAAGACGGGGCAAAAATAAAAAATAAAGTAAAAATAACATGCCAACAAAGAGGGGGGAGTGTTAATTCATCGATAAAATATCGGGCCGTGCAAAAAGTAGCGAAAAAGAAGCAGGAGCTACTGTTATAGCAAAGAGCGCATGGAGACGGAGTAGCGCATGGCAGGTGACGGACGTACCAAACACGCTGCGCTCCTTTGCGGAGCTCGCGCGGGCCTTATTGCTCATGCGGCGCGACGTTTAATTGAGCCACTTGCGCTTTGCGTATAAATCACAAGTGTGGCAGCAGCAGAGCCGACTGCTGCTCACTGTTTGTGCATAGGAAGTGCAAGTTGGTCTATTCCGAGGTGCTGTACTAATTGTCCGCAGCATTTTTGCCACTGCGTACGTCCTTTGGGTAAACACGGGCCTCGGGGCCTTATTTTTTGTTGAGTAGACGTTGCATTCGCCAAGAACAACACTTTGCGATCGGAGCGCTGTTTTGCCATATGTCACAAAGTAAGTCTGCTGACAGACCAAGTTCGATCGCATGTGGTAAGAGGATAGAAGCAACGATAACACCCGGTCATAAAACGTCAATTGCAAGCATAGCTCTGCGTGGGTCGTCAGTGTTTCGACCGGAGGTTCTCCGAGCACCAACAAGCGCATATTGAGCCTTGCCTCGAGATTCTTGCGCCACGATCCAAAAGAAGGTGAAAAGCGTGTTGTACTGCTAACTCGAATGCGATAAAGGTAAAAAGTCTTCCTAGTGAGGCTCAAGGAGAGCTTCATAGCCTGATATCATGAACGAAAAGCTTCCAAGATCTCCAGTTCGACAGATAGCACACGAGTGCAAAGCGCACGTAATCTTTGACTGTATTTACTGGATCGAGACACACGTTGTTAAACCGGTCACTACTTCTCAATGTGAGTCAAGGAGGCTGGAGAGATTATTTGGTCTTGCTGCACGGTAAGCTGTCAGGTCAGTTTGTACTCTGGTGTTCCTTAGCTATGCTACATACAATCTTTGACGCCGAGCACAACCCCTCGCTCTCCTTTTTTCGAGGCTCAGTTAGTAGCTTCTGGACGAGTCAAGGGTGCAGATCTCGTATGTATTTCTGCCGGGTCTGAGACTTCCCGCTGCTTTTCTCCAACTATGATATAACCGAATCAATGGGGCCGTCACGTACGACCACGTTTGTTTCTTTGTCCCAAGCAAAAGAAGCTGTCGTGATTGATGACGATATCTGCTCATTTTATAATGAAAGCGACGCCGACGACGGCTAAAGTTGCATCCGCGCGTCTCTGTATGACTGGACGGTCGTCATCGAGACGAACGTAGTTGAAACCACCTTTTGAACCCGAGCTCTTGATCTTGCTGAACGCTTATGACAGCAGCGTCTCAAAAGTACAAAAGGCCTTCTTTCCATCTTCTTGCGTCCGGTCCGCTTCTTCGTCACCTCCTCCTTGTTTTGCTACTTCTCCCACTTCTTCTCCTTGATGATGTTATCGTGGCGTCTTTGCGTTGTCGATTCCTGAAATCTCAGGACAACTGAGACGAGTGGAACATGAGATTCTTTAGTTGGGAAGTAGGCGGTCTGACACTTGACCACTTGCATTTTAGACAACGCGGTCTGCTACAGTGACCTTCATTGGTCCACAACTGAACACCATGCTATCATCCTGCGGAGGCTTCAGGCTTCTTCTAGTGTAGGACAAGAAGCTTTCTGTCTACGACAACCGCTTTCACAATGGTCCACCTAAACTATCGTTCATTGGAACACCGGCAACGACTCATTCGACACCCCTCTGTGCACATACGCATGAAGCTCTGTCTGAAGGCAAAAGAATGGAATTGAAGGAACTATTTGCTTCGTTTGCAAGTGTACCATGGACCCAAGTCTTCAAGCTCGCATGCGTGTGCTAGACCTTCCATGCCGTCCGTCAGATTATGTTGGTCCGCATAAGCACCGAAAGGAGGTCTTTTGATACAAGCAATTGCGGTTGACCGGGTGTGTCGAGTCCAAATGCCATCCGTTGGTGTAATTGCCCTCGTAATAGCAGTTCCGGCCGTTGCAGTAGCAGCGGAAACTGCGGAAGTGGCAATCATCGTCCGTCGAGCACCCGTCCAAGTGATACGTCATCGGATCATCATCTTTTCCTTTCCCACGGGTCACTGGGAACTCATACTTTCCAAGGACCGGGTAATGGTCGGAGAGATCGACCAAGGCCATTTTCATGCTGCTTTCGGAGGCAGTCCAATCAACTGTGAAACGTGAGACTTGATTCGCGTAAGCTTCAATCGTTGGCATGGTGCTGGGCTGCTGATAAGGGTCTGTAGTGTTTAGCGCTCAAATTATACATCAGTGATCAGACAAGCGCAAATGACGATACAGCTGTGGTACCTCTGCCATACAGGGTGTAGTCTAGCCACTCTAGTGGACAGCACGGGCAATAGCACATATCGTCTACCTCAGCATGCACAAGCCAACTAGCCTCGTCCATGACAGCATGCACCATGCAAGTTGATCGGGTAAGCAGTGACGGATGGTAAACGCCGTCCTGTTTGTAGTCCACCAATCCAATTGACAAGTGCTAAGTGTAAGCAGTCGAAACATGGCAATTTTGACGACAAACCTTTGCCGGCCCCCAATTGTGAACATATTGCGCAAAGCACTTGCTACTGATCGCAGCCCCGTCGCGCCCAACCAGTACGTTCGTGTGTGGGCTGTATCCGACACAACGTGTCATGGGAAATGAGCCTACACAGAAAGCATTGCAACAAATAACGCACGACGCACTCGCTAGTAAAGTTCTGTTCACCGATCCGACGAGGCTCGTGTGCTTGAAGCAGTTCCACCAGATATGCCACTTCACTTCCAAACGTATGGTTGTCCACGTTAAAGTCCCCGGCAAGAAGCAAAGGCTACGTTCAAGTCCATGGCAATCAGAAACCACGAATTCGACATTGGTCACGCGGTACATTGTGTGTACTACAACGCTTGCTGTCCTACCTCGTGATGCGGAATGCCAATAGCATCGATAAATTGGCGCATCTGTGAGAACACATCGAGATTATGCGGCGTGCCCATGGATCCACGTCGGGCATGAACATACCTGCTTAGCTTGCTCGATCCGGTCAGACCGTCCTTCGAGCGTCGACCAAGCCTACAGTCCATCATGCCCCACAGTATAACATGCAGTGTCTTTTCGATTCGCAGCACCAAATCCAACATGCTATCTACCTGCATATGCGTTGCGAACACGTTGAATATCTTGGATACACCATCTACGGTCTTCAGTATGCGAGCATACTTGACGCCTTTTGCCGCAAGACAGTCCGAGTAGTGACAAGCATTACGGTACACATGTTGTGCCTCTCGGACAATGGGCCACTTGGAAACTATCATCACTCCACCGTTCAATAAACTGGTAAACGGGTCCGGGTCGTGCAAAATCGACGTGACATGATGAAAACCAAACTTTTGGAATTGCGCGAGCATGTCGTCCCGCTGCGTCTGAATGTCGGCCTCGGCTAACGTCACGACGTCAATCGATTTGGAAATCCGATCAAGTGACTCAGGGACCCGCTGCAGTCGCTCGCGCTGTCCATCTTTTGAGACTTCGTACGGCCGGCCGAACAAATTGTACTACGAGTATCATGTACGACCATTTCGAAGTAAGTCACGGTAGTTGCTCGTACAACTTTTGTAACAAATCCACAAACTGGATATACCTGGAGGACTTGAAGCGTCATGGCGTAAGGGTCCGCGGTGGTCAAGGTAGAAACTGCAGGTTGCCAGACAGGAACAGAAGTGTCCTTTCCAAGGACGTTCGTGTGGCCAAATAGCACACCAAGTAACGTGGAAAGACCCCGCCAGCCCATGAAGAAGCGTGGAGGGCGCGTGATGGCCGGTCCCATTCGAGTTGAACACAGTCAAGAGCGGTGGGAGACGATATCTAGAAGTGCGATCCGATACACTACCGTTACTTGTTCAGTTTTTAGATTCATCCCGCCGATGTGTATGATATAAAGTCGAAGTACCCGACACACAATAGAGCAGTTGTTACTCGAACTTGCACGATACGCGGATAGTGTCAGCCTTGACTGCGTCTGACGGCAAGAACGCCATATCGCCAACGGACTCGATCGATTGAAACGACAGCGAGCGAGACGATGTAGCTGAGCTAGTGACCTCTACCTTCACCGTGAGGTATCCTATCGGCTTGCCGGACTCGTCCTTTAGTACCATCTCTTCTGTCGCATGAGTCCTCGCGTCAATGTCCATAGATGCCGACCCGAGTCTTGCGTCGACAATCATACTCTTGTCCTTCAGCGAAACAGTCAGCTTCGAGCCCGCACCGCCACGACTGAGCTCCTTAGCTGTCAGCGGAAACGTAAAGCTCTCTTCCCACGACGCGTGGCCCACTTGCTCCTTCTTTTGATTCTTGACGAACGACATTTTTGCGGTGTTCGTACGGTTAGCATTCTTGCCTACGTGCACAGAAATGTACGGCGAAATATTGGGCGTGCTACTGCCCAAGTTGCCGAATCCAAGCATGCCGCTACCAGTCGAGCTAGTGACGACCATGTCTCTCAATGACACAACCGTTACGAGGACCTGGCGCGCCTCGTCTCCCAGAGACGCTGCATGGCTCTTCTTCTTCGACTTTTTCCTGTTCAGCATCACCAAGGAATAATCCTTCTCGTCAATGACGTGGCTTACGTTCTTCTTCGTGTTTCCGGGTTTTACCTGCGTATGAACCCATTGCGCGAGATCCGATGAGTACTCAGGCGGCTTGAAATCATCTTGCAGCTGCGCCATACTCAAAATGCATTTGCCGATTGTCTTGGCTACAGTGCCACCGTACGAGTCCTTCACCACGAATTGCACCTCGTCCTCTCCGCCCGTTAGGGCGAGCTGCATGCTCTCTCGCCACACCGGGTTCACCGTGTTGTAGACCACTGCCGTTTTCACTACATCCACACCATCGATTCGCACTACGCACAAAGGGTCACACGACTCGTCCGAGTTCAGTCCGTTCGCACCAAGCACCTCGAGATTCAGAAGGGCTGGTTTGGAATGAGTTTCGTCAAACTCAGCAACCAGTCGGCCCTTTTCCACACGTTTCGGATTTCGGCGGCGGCCGCCAAATGGGGAGCGAGCGATCCACAACTGTGGATCGGACGCCCAGTGCAAGGCTGTGAGACGTCGATGTCAAACCCTTGATCAAGACAACGCCAGGACCTGTAATGCCTTGCACTGTTCCCTGCACACGTCCAGTTACGCCACCCTTCATAGCGCCCTCGACAGGCTTCGTGAATATGCCAGTGAATCCGCGGCCGAGGTCTTTCGCAAACTTGAGGCCAGCGTTGTCAGTCGAACTCGCATCATCACCACGAGATGCGTCGCCTGTATTGCCATCTGCAAACTCACCCACAAACTTTTCCAGCGAGCCCGTAATTTTCGCGACCGAAGATGCACCTGATGTCACAATCGTTTTACCCAATACCTTTACTCCTTCACCGCGCGTATGGGCACCACCGATCAACTCGCCCTTTGTAATTTTGAGAAACTCCACCACACCAGAACCCAGATCTTCCACAAGTCCGATCGGATTGCCAATGATGTCTGCACTTCCAACGAGACGGTACGCTTGCACCACGCCCTGTTGTAGTAGTTTGCGACCAGCTGACTTCGTAGTCTCTCCTTCGTCGAAAAACAAGCACAATCATTATCTCACTGAAATTGAACGTAGACGAACCGCTCAAGTCGGATCCGACGAGGCCAATGATTTGGCTCAAAAAGCCGAAGATAATCGAGTGACCGCCACCTGTGGACGACACGATGTCATTGCGCGTAATCGAATACTCTACTTCGACTGACAATGACGAAATGCGCGAG